CAGTGATGCAGCGTTTCCTTGGTTACCGCTGTAAACTCAGCAGCGCTTATGGAACAGTGATACAGCGTTTCCTTGGTTACCGCTGTAAACTCAGCAGCGCTTATGGTACAGTGATACAGCGTTTCCTTGGTTACCGCTGTAAACTCAGCAGCGCTACACGTATTTACACTAATTTAAATGCATCATACGGAGACAATGGAAAAAAAAAAGAAGCAATTTTTGAAAACAGTCAGTTCCATTCCCCTCAGAAACACATTCATATAAAATTCAATGTTCAGATTTTCTTCCTATATTTTGCGCATCGTGAACCGTGATCTTGTTCTGCCTGCTACAGTATTTTCTCTTTGTGTCCTCCTTCAGACGCGGCTGTTCACACAGAACACAGTGCTCGAGGACTGAAAGGAGTTATCTTTCGCGCCCAAATGCTTTTCAATCGCTTGAATTTTTAAATTAACAAGTCTTAAAAACACATGCAAATGATAAAATGTGGTGACGACGCTGCAGTGGCCCGATCGGGCAAGTGACAAATCAGTCTACTGTCCCGAATGTTTTTCACGCTGACCCCGGGCCATCGGCAGTCCTTGTTGTCCAGCCCTGCATCCACACATCTGTGTGTGTGTGTGTTAATCTGTGTGTGTGTGTTTTAGGTTGTGATGTGATCAGTCTGGCGGAGTTGAGTGAGTGAGTGAGTGAGTGTGTGTGTGAGAGAGAGTGTGTGTGTGTGTGTGTGTGTGTGTTAATGTCTCTCTCTCTCTCTCTCTCTCTCTGTCTCAGGGCGTGACGTGATCGGTCTGGCGGAGACGGGCTCGGGGAAGACAGGAGCGTTTGCTCTTCCTATCCTGCAGTGTCTGCTGGCGTCTGCGCAGCGGCTGCACTCTCTCATCCTGACTCCCACCAGAGAGCTGGCCTTCCAGATCGCAGAGCATTTCGACGCGCTGGGCTCCAGCATCGGTGTCAAGACCGGTGACTATCACTCCAGATCGCACGACGCGCTGGGCTCCAGCATCGGTGTCAAGACCGGTGACTATCACTCACTCACTCACTCACTCACTCACTCACTCACTCACTCACTCACTCACTCACTCACTCACTCACTCACTCACTCACACACTCACACACTCACTCACACACATATACACACTCACTCACTCTCTCACTCACTCACTCACACACACACACACACACACACACACTCACTCACACACATATACACACACTCACACACATATACTCACTCACTCACTCACTCACTCACTCACTCACTCACTCACTCACTCACTCACTCACTCACTCACTCACTCACTCACTCACTCACTCACTCACACACATATATACACTCACACACACACTCACTCACTCACACACACTCTCTCAGGGTAATTTTTATAAATGCAACTTTTATTTTCTCTTGTGGGCTATATGTAAACATCTTTTATGTGAAATATCTTATTCAAGTCAGTACTTAAAGGGTTAGTTCACCCAAAAATTAAAATTAGCTGTTGTTTTACTCACCCCCTCACCCCCGTATGTGTATATGACTTTCTTCTTTCAGACGAATCCAGTCAGAGTTATATTAAAAATTATCCTGGCTATTCGGCTATTCCTCATGGCATTTAGCGGGTGTTGCAGTGCTTCAGTCCAAAAGAAGTTAAATAAAAAGCTCCGGGGGGTGAACAAAGGCCTTCTGTAGCGAATCGATGCGTTTTTGTAAGAAAAATATCCATATTCAAAACATAATAATCACTTTAATCTAGCTTGCGCTCACTGTTGTACACGGAAGCAGTTCCGGGAGCATGACGTATGAGGTCAACGTTTATTAAAGATGGACGCTTTTTATTTAACTTCTTTTGGACTGAAGCACTGCAACACCCGCTGAGTGCCATGATAGAGCTTGGAATAGCCATCCCATATACACCTGGGATGCCTCGAGGGTGAGTAAAACTCACTAATTTTTGGGTAAACTAACCCTTTAATAAAACAATACCATGCATTTTGTATGATCCCTCTTATTTTGGTAAAATTAACATTTAGCAGATTCTGCAGGGGTATGTAAACTTTTGACCTCAACTGCACGTGATGTTAGTAACAGCAGACAGTGATAGGGTTCAGTGGTGTTGTGACTCACATCAGCGCCTGTGTTTCTCATGTGTGTTTGAAATTCGTAACTTATGTGTGTGTATAAACAAACTTGTGTGTGTGTTTCTCGTGTGTGTGTATCTGTGTGTTTCTCGTGTGTGTGTGTTTCTCATTTGTGTGTGTGTGTGTCTGTGTGTGTCTATCTGTGTGTGTGTGTGTGTGTATATCTCTGTGTTTGTGTGTGTCTGT